TTTCCCCTGGAGTACCGTCGCCTCCGAGGGGACCTAATTCTTACTTATGCCCTGTTTGAACAAAGCTTGGCAAACAGGTTTTTCACCGTTGCCCCAGCAAACACGGCGGAGACATAGTAAGAAGATTTTCAAGCTCAGAGTGCACGCATTAATTGGGCAAATTTTTTCTCATTTCGGGTAGTATCTGCGTGGAATTACCTTCCCCGACGGTTGTCCACGCTCCTTCCAGAACCCAGTACAAAGCACTACCAGACATTTATTTATGCGAATCCTCGCGCTGGTGAGCATACTGCCCCGCGCTGAGAACATAAAGAGCAGTGCTACACCCTTTTTTCACTTGTGCCTTTCAGGTGAACGACAGCCACTGACCGACAAGAACAAAACCGACCCGGGAAACTTGGGCAAAAGCCTCGATCCTGTGTATCAATCCGTGAATCCGTGAATCAAAAAAAAACTGTGCACACACTTCGGGTCAAACATCTGCCCCTTGAGCCTGTTCAGTCCTGTATCGCTGGTGGCCTGAATTTTCGCGGGAGTTCGAATCCGTGAATCCGTGAATCCGTGAAAAACTGTGCACACACTTCGGGTCAAACATCTGCCCCTTGAGCCTGTTCAGTCCTGTATCGCTGGTGGCCTGAATTTTCGTTGGCGGGAGTTCGCCATCTCAGCGACGGGAGAGAATGGCGAGACGTAAAAAGCGATCGATGGTGTATCGACTATATACAACTTTCCTTATCGGAGCCAATGGTGACCTTGGTACCCATTTGGCTGCCCCATAATAATTGCACGTAAATTGAACTGACCTTGATGCACTGCCGATAGCCAGGGGCCTCACGTATACGTCACGATGATCCGTGATCTGCTGAACAAAGGACGAGAAATTGCTGATAAAGTGTAGGTGTTCTACTTGTCTGATTTATTTTGAAGCACCAACATGGTGATGAATTTTTCGGAGGTGGAAATGAAAGTCAGGGAAGCAACGAGCGACGAACCTTGGGGACCCCATGGTCAACTGATGATGCAGATCGCGGACTACACTTTTACGCACAACACCTACTTGGAGGTTATGTGTACTCTATGGAGGAGGTTGTATCCCGAAAATTCGCGCAACTGGCGGCGTGTCTACAAGGTAGGTTTACAAGGGCAGCCCAAGCTGTTTCCTAAGACGTGCCGTCTGCCTTGTGCGCCAGAGGCTAATGGTTCTAAAGATAAAGAAAAAGGGCCAGGCTGCCGCGGCGAAGACAAGCATGGCGCTCTTCCAACTCCAGAAACGGAGGAGCTCTGTAACAGTATTCCAATTGGTGTGCTATGACCCCATTTAAAAGACAGTTTTATGAACAGTTACTAAAAATAACGTTTATGGAAAAGGTTCAGCGGAGACTAATGAGGCGATTAGGTGTTGCACTTACTTAGGATATGGAGGCTAGGATCTCATCTTGTCCCCTGTGTTCGAACTACCCACCGCTCAGGCAATAAGTTCACGCCCCAAAAACAGCTGTTTCCAGCATCCTGGCCGTATACTACTGCAATAAGTCCGCCGAAACATTGGAACAATTCTAGCAGAAACTAAATGCTCGCTGGTTAGAACGCGAATTCACTGACCGGAATGTTCGTGGTTCTAAATCGACATCCGCATCTCGACTTCTGTCTGGGTTTAGGCAACCTGGCACTATCTGGGCTCTCGTGCTTCCTTCGGGCGGCAGCTAGGTACGGAAACGGTGTTACAATAAGATGATCGTTCAGCTGCACCACCCTTTCGGTGCCCATCTACCATGTCAACAGAAGGAGGCACAGGGTATAGTATACTGCCAGGTCGCCCCAAGCAGAGGCTGGGTTGGAGCCATTGGCTTTCCGGATAGTAAATTCGCACCCTAACCACTGAGCCATCTTTCCCCAAGGGTGTTATAGCCAGACGATTATCTGTATCATCCAATATCTAGTGACCTACGGTCCTCAGGATTTTCCAAAATACCTCCAGCCAAAAACAGCAAATATATCAATGCTGAGGCACACATCGTTCACGTATCTACATTCCTTTTTTAGCACAACTTCATCCCATTTTGACACGTTATGGTCTCCAAGGTTGACACTGCGACAAGCTGACATGGGGACAACCTTGTCTACCCCACTGACTACCTGATCTACTTTCTATTCTTTCATTGCTCACAATCAGTAGTGAAAATTAAATCGAAACTAGATCGATAATTCACTCTGCTATTAATGCGTCGAAAAGTACACATGTAGCTTGGTGGATGGAGACGAAGTCATAAAGCTGGTAGATGGTGGTCCAGCATGAGTAGATGACGCCGAGCGACCTCAGTTTATGGTGGTAGATGTTTTCCGCGATCGAATTACCCACTGCATACACAAATTCCAGTTTTCTAACCACCTCGATGCGAGCCGGTTTAAGCCATCCAACATCAACAAAGCGTCTGGGGCATCGGTAATGAAAAACCTGGAGGTGCCTCGTCATCTGTCCGCAGGGGTCATATATCGCAACCGTACAAAAATACAGTCCGTTACACTGGTAAAAAATAAAAGTCGTTCATCTGTAACACCCTTCCTATGCCTAGCCCCCATGCCGCCTGAAGGGAGCACGAGGGCTGAGATACCCAATTCTGGACAGCGGGGATCGAAACGCGGAGGTCGGGTTCGAACCACGGACCACGGTCAGTAAATTCGCGCTCTAACCAGTTGAGATTCTAAAGCTCCACATCAATAGATTAAGACCGTTCTTACAGTTGTACACATTCTTTTAACTCCAGCGAAATTCGGACCCCACACCACAAATGACGTGGACGCTGCTCACTCTCTGAGTATCGGCTCGTTAGATTCATCCGTTAAAGTGCACTCACGGCTTACGCAGCTGCCATGATACGTGCACCAGTCAAAATACCCAAGCTATTTATTCTAAAGTTTCAGAGAAGCACAAGAGAATAGAAGTGCTGGACGTAAAACCGAAAAATGCATGCGGAAACGTGGGATCACACCCAATGTTTTGGCTAAAGTAATTTGCGCAGACAGATACTCGTCAAACAACTGCCGCCACCAAAATCGAAATTCATTAGTCTCCCTGAGAGGCCATTTCAGTACCTAGTCGATGATAAAACTGAACAAAAAAGGAGATAGGGGACAAACCTGATGAACTCCACTAGTTTTCTGAACAGCTTGTTGTACACCCTAACCCGACCGGAGGTACGCGGGTAAAGGGGACGAATAATGTTTACAAACTTCAAGGGCACCCCTCTGACCAAGAACATCTGGGAAAATTAGTCTGTTAACACAGTCGAAGGTTCCTTTGAAGTTGAGGAAAACATCGATTGTGTGTCGGTGCTCAAGCACCTGGCGTAATGTAAAGATATGATCAGTGCATTCTCTGTTAGGTCGAAGTTTCGATTGGTGCTCGCGGACTTGCGTCTAATGAACCATAAACCCCGTATTTGTGTCGTCGGTAGTCCGTTCGTAACCGTCAAGATCAAGTGTCTACCTCATTCTCACCGATCGCCTCTCGGTCTTGTATCCCTCACAATTACCCACCTCAAAAAGGCTGGAGTCACCCTTCAGCGATGCCAATGATGTGGACGCCATGGGGAACTGTCGTAAGCTCGTCAACTTCGTATCCGAGAAAGTGTAAATTAGCGATGTATCAATGCGGCTGTGCAAAATTGAACCTATCTGGGTTGATCAGCAGGCGCCTTGTAAATAATACGGAAACTTAAACTGAGTACCACTCTGTGCACCATCTACGCCGACGTTGCACGACTTAGCTGGGACCTGGATTTATCCGCAGAAACCGCCTTGGGCCGTAGGCTTGGTACTCTGAAGGATGGTTCAGCTGTCTCCTATCAACTCAACCTTTGCAATAGCCACGTGGATTATAGTGGAACGTCGATAAACTCCAGCCGTCCACCCACAACAAGTCCAGCATGAAATTTCTTTGTTTTGTTGCAACAGAGCACCTGGTCCAGATAGTTTGCATCTTTCAGAGGATGCGACGGGTCCCCAAATTGGAAATTTTGAGCAACAAAATATACCAATGTTCAAAAACGATTATACAATATAGTGCGAGAACCACAGGGACACGAGTTTTCCAAGATGCCATATGGGGTCATTCTGCGCAGGTTATCTAACTAGGGGATAGTCAGTTTACTGAGAACCAAGCTGAATTTCACCCTGGCTGATTATACCTTGACCCTGCAACAGGTGCTCAGACTGCACCAGTCCCTTTTGATTCACTCGATCGCTAAAAACCAGGACAGTTTATAGCCATGAAAAGTGTCCCCTTTGTCTTTTATGGACTGTACTTGTCCGAACTCTTGTATATCAAACCTACGCTTGTGTATTGGAGGCCGGAGCTGATGAAATCGACGTGTAAATGCAGTGTTGTCGGGGGATTGGGAGGGGAGCTGTGCATTGAAGGTAATAGCTTGGATGCACACCCAGAACAGCGTTTTGAATGACTCGCATGATGTAAAAATTTGGAATCGTATAGTCAAAGTCAGGCAAAAGACTTTACAGCTGATGAAACTCATGCGTTTGTTCCGTTTGTCAGCCGAATAGAATGTGCGTCAGGAGAAGTACAGTAACTTACCCTGTCCATCGATGCGGCTCAATGGGACACCGATTGTTTTGGCAAAATGATTCGTTCTAGCCATTTAGACAGGCGTGTTGCTAGTCCTTTTCCATGCTTACATCTTTTCATCGTTCTAAAGTCCTGCTTGTTAGATAATTTAGGATGAATATCAGTTCTACTGACAATTACAAAGTATTCTGTTTTAATGATTGTCGTTGCATCCTTCCATAGTCCCTCGTTCTGCTGGACTTCCTTTTGAAGAACGGGTCAGAGAACGTAGCAGCCGGTGCGCGGGAGCATATTTATGATATACGTACCTTGGAATCGTTTCAGTTCATTGACGACAATGGGAAAGATCAAGGGATCAACGGTGGGTGACTGAATGTCTTATTTTGGTTAGTCCTATGAGATTGCGATTCCCCTTTCATCTGTGTTTGATCTAAGCTATTGGTTTGCCTGTCGATCTCGATTAAGATTTCACCCTTGTGTATCTGTTTTCTACTAGTGCGCATCAAAGTTCAGGAAGTCATCAATCTCATCCAGGATTCTGATAAATTAAAAGTTGAACGTGCCAAAGCGAAGGGAAATCGAAACCTGTATATCGGTTATGGTGGGTCAAATGGTTCCGGTTGGAGTAACTCTCATTACCCGACGCGAAATACCTTTGATACCAAGTAAGTGTCGTCGTATTAAATTGAACGATGTGTTTAGCTTCATTAAATTATTTGCAAATGCGTTGACTCTTGTTCTCGTTTGTGACACTCAGTCTTCTTTCTGATAGATCTATTATTGAATGAATCCTTCATCTTGTCTCTTGGTTATTATACTGGACACGACAGTGTGATGGCCAGTGGAAATATTTTTCACCCCTTGATGAAAGTGTTGAAGAACCTGAGAATAGTGAATCATTGTTTATTCTGGTGCTTCTGATCTCCTTAAAAACTAAATTTTTGTAGAGGAAAATGTCGGTAGCTCAGGTAGCTTGTTCGCTGAGCTGGGCAATTTGATTGCAAACGTTTCATCACCAATCGAGATGACATCATCAGTGCGTTATTAGGGAGCGTAGTTGTACGTAGCGGTGGGTTAGTAGTTGTGCACAACTAACCTCCGTAGCTATAAATCTTATGAGGTGTTTCTGATGCCTCCTGTTCTGTTGCCACTACGGGGCCTTATCAACGATATCGGATTTGAAGTCTATCGGGCTATTGTTCTGCTCGACTCGAGAAACTGTTACCCGAAACATTTGAATAAGCTGGTTTCTATAGCTAATTACTAAGCTTTGGCCAAGTTTTGCTGCAAAGAATCTCTGTCGCTTGTTTTTCACGATGGTGTGTGCTTCTGATCTGCCATCAATACCAACTAGGTTCGCTGATCCTCCACTGAAAGTTCCTATGCCTGTGCAATGTTTTTTTCACAGTCTGCCTTCACAATGGGTTTCGACTGGTGGGTCGTTTCTGGGAAAGAAGCTATATATATGAAGCTATATCAGCCCTAACTGGCTGGTATAATCATCGAATGCTCACCAGTGATTCCCAAGAGAGCACTCTGGCACCGATCGGCGCACGGTTTCGCAGCAACGCAGGCTGCTGTCGGTCTTGGAGACTAAGACACGGCCTCATCCGCGTAGTCAGACCAATGTGACTGGTAATCAAGGTAAAGGGCTTTCTTCTTTCCACTTTCCGCGCTGCTTGTGGAGGTATAGGCCCCCCAGTAGTTTGTACCGTGAGGTCGCCGTCATCTGGAGATATCGGAGGAGAGGCCATTGTAGCTCGTGTATTGAAGGTTGTCCCTCACGCAAAGGACCAATTTTAGTTGATCTTTCAGGTTGGTCTCACCACAGGGAACGATTATTTCAAGGCTGTTTCGAACGCTGTTCATCGAAATGTTTGAGACATTTGTATTCACAGAATTTGCGCGCTTTATCGTCCCTAACCCATATTAGCGCACAATGCCGAAATTCGTATTTTCGGCTCTATTAGTGTAAATTCGTTTAACTGAACGGGCGTGAAACCTCTATCTGGAGCTATGAGAGAATAGTTAGAATACTTTCACCTAGCATTCAGTTTAATTTAACGTATGTGACTGCGCCATTTTTTGTCGACACCTGTTTGGAGGAGGGGTTTTGCGGATGTAAGTAGTGCACTTTTAAGGGTCAAATGGTCTATTTCGTCTTATTTGAGCAGACAAATTTGGTCGTTGTGTGGCAGGAGAACTGAAGAGCTCTGACGTTCGGAAACGAAGTAGTGTTTTCAGAAACGTTCTGAAAGTGCCTTCCAGTTGATCCTTGTACGGACATTAATTCGCACTGGAACTGCGCAACCGTTTGAAATGCTAGTCGTTCTGCTTGCGGAGCAGTACGACTAATTGTACCGAAGCGCTGCCACAAGAGATTGGGATCGAACCCAAACCTTATGCTTGTAGACGAGCCAGTCGACGTGGCAGATAACTTTTTTTTTTACCTGAGAGTTGTATCAGTTATGTTGTATTGGCTGGAGATGAGATTCTCGAATCGGGAAGACCAGGGCGGCTTTTGACAATACCGGATACCTATGGTGCTGACGTAACGTCAGTTCATCGAGGGCATAGTTTACACTGCGGCAGTGCGATCCATACTGCTTTACGGACCAGAGACGTGGCCTCTACGCGCAAAGGACATGCGAAAGATGTCATTGTTTGACCATCGGTGTCTCCGAAGCACTGATCGGGTCTGGTGGGAACCTCGGAAAAGTGATTTTGATATACGCCTAGAAAGAACGAACTCTCCCGCGATAGGCAAATTCTTCACGCTTCATAGATTACGCTTGTTGGGATATGTGCTCTACATGCCAGAAGACCGTTCGCCTCGCAGAGCTCTTTTCGATCAGCCCTGTGCTGAGTGGCAGTGACCTAGAGGTGGACGGTGTATGATCTGGCAATAAAGTACGGAAATACTAACCAGTAAACTGAGTCGGGTCGACAACTGCCGTCTACCTGGATGGGGACCTTAGGACTCAACCCACCAATGGTTAGTCACGCTGGCACAAATGGCCCAATTGCGCAGTCAGTGACACTTGTGCATCAAAGCTATCGTCCTCAATACGTAACTACGCAGGTCCCTAACTAACTGAACATGCCATCGCCTTCAATTCTTGGCCGTATATCCCACATTCTTTCAGTCTCCGGTGGTCGGAACTGTAGCAGCTGGAATCAATGTACCTATGGTACACGGTTCATAGCTGATTGATTGATTCCCGACGATTTTAATCTCACCTGGTTATAGGATCTACATCCTCATGTTCAAGATACAGCGCGTATCAGCGTGTCACATCAAGTGCAGATGCGTGCCAGTGCCGACTGAGAAGTTCGGTGGATCCCGAAGGCTGAACAGATTGTGAAGACAAACTTCGGGGACGTTGAACTATTCTCACATTGCAACAGGTCTAAAATTAGTTCGTCAGCGAAACTCTAAGCGACAGAATGCTTCACTTAGTCAGCCAAAGAGGAGTTCCTGGACCTCTTGGTCGGATATTTTGGGCAAAAATATGCCCGCTGGTGTTCAGTCGGATTTCCTCTCGAACTGATCATGGACCCTCCAATGTCTCCCGAGGCGTTTGATTCATCTACTAGGCCGTTGGTCCTGACCAATTTCCACCCGTTGTGTTTAAGGATGGAGGTGATTTTTTCGGTCAGTGCTTGAAAAATAGATAATACGAATCGATAAGCTTCAAAAAGATTTTTGAGTGTGGCGATCATGGCGTTCCCTGTTGTAACAGGATTGTCAGCGTAAACTGTTCTCCGAAGCCTTAGGAGAGGCGCGCAAACAGGAATCCTGTTTGGGGCAGATTGTGTATGCCAGATCTCCGCACCATCACATGTCGCAGCGCTGGCATGTGCGGAGATTTTGGATTTCGAAGGCGCGTTCGATTCTACCAACTGTTTTGTTCTTGTGATCATACATGTCTAACAAGGTCTGCTACAGAAGCTTTCGAACGACGTACCCACAGAATTACTGACGTGAGAGTGTGAGGAGGAATATAAAAGCTTTGAATGCAGTTTCCCAACAAAAATACCCGCGCTTTCCGTACCTGTTCAGTTTTTTTACTGGCTAGATACCATAACGGACGTCAGAATGTAATCGAAACCCCGGCGAATGGATCGCCGGCGATTGTCTCACTGATCTGTAGTATGTGGACGACGTTGTCCTTATTTTCACAGAGAGGGAAGTCTACACATTTCTGCTTTGCATTCACAAGGCCTAAATTCATACTCTAGAACGTACTGTTTTTGAACGTGCCCTTTGCAATTTAAGAAAAAGCACTGAAATCTGTGAAATGGCTTGTATATTTCGGAAGCTGTGTTGTGTCTGATGGCAACGCGATTGACGAGGTCAGTATGCCAACCCCGAAAGTCAGAATGGTGTTCCTGATGCGTGTCACTTATGTCGTTCGGAGGATACCAGAGTTTTGTAGGGCTGCGAGCCGCGGACTTATAGGAAGAGCGATCCACTTTAGGACTGAACCCGTTAGTGGTGTGGACGAAGAGGCGGTAGAGGGTAATGAAGAAGCTTGCAGAGTTTGGGTGCTGTCAGTGCGTTCCGCCGTACAAAATGGGGCTCATTCGGCATGATTATGCTTGTCTAGGGTTGCTGCAATATTTTGCGGAACACCGATGTCAGTGATGTTCTTATTTCTATTTTTATTCAAATTTCCCAGACGAGTGTTCGAACTGTAGGCAATCCGACTGGCTTGCTTTGGACTAGGCCCCTTCTTTGAATTTTTTTACTATGCAAGGTTTTCTCCAGATCCATTGACATGGTGGTACGGCAGCGACACATTTGTTCCCTTACCAGTCAACTCGCTAGCCTTGGTAACTGCCTCATCTCGGATGGGCACTCCGGAAACAAAACTAATGATTAGTGACCCTGATAGATATGGTCTTGTAACACTCGTATTTTCTCCAATGAGTAGCCGTCGTTCCTGGTCATACCAGACGAACAGAACAATAAACTGGTTGGGTCATCGCGTTCAACGCATGGCTGTCATTCTTTCATTCCCTTTATCATCTGTAACAAACTGTGGCAGCGGAGCCAATGTGCTTTGGTGCAAGTTGCACCTCCCCAAGTGATGTTTCTTGATTCTTATCATCTTATCATCTTATCTTTCCTATCCGATGTCCAGTACAGGTCAAAATACCTAGGCGTTGTATTCATTAATCAGGCCAAGTGGATTCGTTGCATCGACTTAGCAACGATGCTGCTTTCTCCTTTTCCGGGTTTTGTTTCCTCCTGTTGGATAAGCTGGCTGCAAAATAAATTCTTCGTAATAATCGAATTCTTGGTTGTGTAAAAAAGCCCGTGTTTTGTACAGCTTTCAATCACTCATCTGATTTGCTCCAGTGGTGGTGGACCTTCTAATAAGATAGTATTCTTGATGCCCACATCAGGTTTATTGATACTTGCAGAACGCATGATTATGCATGAATATTTATTACATTGTCCGCCAGGACAGAGTTGTATTTTTCCACATGGTTGACTATTTCGATCTTCACCGTCATTTTTTGTCTAATTGATGCTACTCACTGCCTAATCGACCGTCTCCTCTTCTCCCCTTTCCTTCTCTACGCTCTTCAACTGGTCGTACGTAATCTCTCTTTGTCTACGTTGGTGTTCCACTGACTTTGTTTCATGTACCGCCTGCGCAACTCCGTGTATATATATTCTAACCGTACGATGAAATGCTTGCGTGTGCCTTTTTTCGCTTTCATTTTCGACTGTTTAGTTCGTATAATCGGCGTTGTGATGAGAATGACTTTGATGACTATGAGGAAGTCCAACCCAAGTATTCTGATCGTGTGGCTGACTTACCACCCACCACCCAGCCAACTCGATTGGGTAAATTCGAAGATTGGCAAGTGGGCCGTGAACGTGGTGTGGTGGATGACGTAGTCGAGCAAATTAAAGAAGTGTGGGACACTGCGAAAATGGTCACGAAGGATTTATTTATTCGCAAGGATTCTGAAACGCATACTTAGTACGTGCTCGATCACCACCACTTAAACATATCGTCCACAATGTTAGCGGGGTAGCTCAGTTGTTAAGGTGCGAAAATACTGCCGAAAGTTCTGTGGTTCGAAGCCAACCCTGGCTTTTTGACTACACGGCAGCTATGCACCTTAAGGGTGTTGCGCTTGAACCATCATTTCTATTCACCACAGTGTGGAAAACAAATTAGCTAACGTTCGAACTGTTTGTTTCAGTAAACCGTATTTTGTTTCACAACGAGTACCAGGAGATGGGCTGTTAGCGCGTGATGGAGACACGATCAAAATTTGGTGCAGCAGCTTACCGGTGTGCAAATAGGGTGGCTACCTAACCAGTGTTATCCATGTTTCATGCGTTGTCGTAAGTTATGTCAACCTTGCTCTTGAATTGTGCTACCTAATGTTCTATTGTTGAGAGCCTGATGACTTCTGACATATCTACACCAGTCCCGAGGACAAGTTTTCTGCATATTATCTACAGGGTCTTCATCATATGATCACCTGCCCCCTGGTAGTGGGAAGGTTTTTTGTTGCCTGCACCACTATTCCTTTCCCTGTTCGCCAGCGACTGATCCCGGTCCTTGAGTTCTTAGAAACATTACTTCAATCTTAATTTCCACATTCCGCTGAAATCGTGCTTCTGTCTTGATCGCCTCTTTAAGTCCCTCACCTTGTGCTTCTCGGTTGGTCGACCGGCTGCTGATATTCACTAGTGGTTGTCATCCTCCCGGCCAGTGGGCGCCCGTTATACTTTTGAGGTAGCTTTCTTTGTATTGCAGTAAACTACTTCAACACTTTCGAAAGTTGCTCGCAGATGACTTGTTCTATAATGGAGCAGATAACAGGCTTAGGCTACGTAGGCCCATCTGGTATTTTGGGCGTGTTGGCCTTTGCGTTTTATCCGAGCACTCCGTATCGAAGCCATGTTTATACGAATTCGTCCACATGAGTCAACGACGTTTGCATCAGTCTTTCATCGGAAGACACCTGATTTAAATGTCGCCGGATTTAGTAGACTAGGGGTACCCGTTATTATCCCTCAGCTAGCTGGTCTCTCCAGGGCCCAAAAGCCCTGTTCATAGTCTCACTGTACCATATTTCGCTCATGAAACCAACATTCGATATTTCGGCACCACTTTGGTCCTGATGTTTTCACTGTTTAACATTTCCTCCCAGTAGATATTTTGGCAGTGTTTACGCCCCAGATTGATACGTGTGTAGGCTCTACGTATTTCACAACGTTGTGCGCTACCGTAAATATTGATGTGTCTCATTTGTCAGTTCACTGGTGTGCAATAGAGTTGAGCTAACTTCCACTCCCGGGTGTGGCTGTGCTATGATTATTCTCCCAGTATACTCGAATGATCTAGCTCATGTGCACAATACAGTTTTCGGGCACAACACCTTCACGCACGGCTAGCGCAATGAGAAGGCTTTTGAGTGTGGAGATATTGCATACCACTTACTCGTTTTTAACGTTGCACTATTCAAGTGAGGACAATCCACGAATGGTCTCTGAAGAAATGTACGAGTTCCCATCAGCTGCTGTGGATGCAGATGGAATCATTGAGGGAGGAGGGACCAATGGTGTAAGTGAACAACGCTCACAAAGAAACGCTGATATATTCGGAA